ATTTCGTATACTGCTAGTTTTGTTAACTTCCTTTCTTATCATTGTTTACTTTTTATTTTTAATGGTTGAGCTGTGATCAAACATGATGGTACTTGATTATTTTGTTCTCGCAGTTACAGTGGTTCAAGCCTACTTTCAATAAACCTGCAAATTGATATTTGGTGTGTTTTCATTGACAGAATTCTGGAGCTTATCATTACAGACCAACTTCACCGTGCTTTTGGCGAAAGAACTGCGAGCGAACAGCAGCGTGAGATCGGGCTTTCACACACACACTCAAACTTCGTGTCCGCGTCGAGCGATCAGCGCCCTGGGTCAGGTCGGTCTTTAAGAATATTTGAACCATAAATTTTGGATGTATTAATTGTGTAAATCGTATTATCCAAACGGAATGTCCCACATTTACGGTTCAAATTTTGTAAGATATTTCTTTAAACGTCCAGGAGGATGACCTGACAGCAATTGCTATTGGACGACGCATTCAGTAATTTGCACGCATTTGAAAATTTGGGATGGGGGTGGGGTGAGAGGGTCAGGGCGGCTGGACACCCAGGGAATGCTGGAAACGACCCGATGATTCGGTCTGCCGTCGGGCGGGTCAGGTAGCGGGTGGATTAGGGACGGGACGGCCGACTGGCTGAGAGAACGCCCAGAAATTGGCTGGGCAGTCAGCCACCAGCGGACGGGCTGCTAATCCCCCCCCCCCCAAGCGCCTGCTTCAGGTATAGGCTGACAAACACCGAATGCATGAGACTCTATGAGCCTCGAGTCTGCCAGTCGATTCCAAGAATCACGGTTCCGGAGTAAGCGTGTCTCAGCCAAAATATTCTGCCTTTTTTTTTCTCCCGGGGGGAGGCGGGGGGCGGGGTGCTAATGGAGAGGACGCATACCGCTGCTTGTTGAAATAATCTTCCTCCTGACGAATGGCCCATATCCCGGTGGACAGCACGCAAGTGAAATATCGCACACGGGCTCCGCTGAGCACACGGAAACGATTTCAATTGTTATCACTGCAAAGAGGTCGGCAATGGAGTTGTCGTGCGCGGGGCGCGCTCGCGTCACGAGGGCAGGCCTAAGTGAGCGCGGTGCTGCCAACAAGAGCGCGACGAGGAGCCCGCGATAGCTTTTCCTGTTGTTGTTTGTTTTCCCCCCATTTCATTTCTCGCAAGGCAGCTGGTAGAGCATCGTGCGGTGCGAACACAAAACACGACGGGAAACCTATTTTCCGGGTCATCAAACTCGGAGGAAACCAATTGCATGCCAAGTAGCAGTGTCGCGGTGTCTCTTCGGCAACTCGCAGCTCTCGCACTCCGACTGGGGACAAAAAAGAGACAATATACGGGAATTGTTTTTGCGAAAAATTAATGAAGAATCACCAGAATGAGTTTGTTTGATTTTGTACATAGCTTAAGGAAGGGAGCGAAGGCCACAGCAAAACTCTGTCAGCAGCGTTTAATTTTGTTCGATCGCGGGGAAAGACCAGCCGCCTGTTTGATTTGCAAGAGTTATGGCGCACCCTCCGGGGCGGACGCTGGCGAGGACGTACCATACGTGCTAATTATCAAGCCGACAGCACGTCCTGCACGCCGACGTGCGGTCTCTTCACGCGTTGCGATTGCCGTTCAGTATGTGCCGGAAGTGGTGGGTAAAGTGACGTCACAAGCTCGGCACTCGGCAGAGTGATTCCTCATGAGAGCTGTCGGCAAAGACCTACGATTTGGAGATAAAACAGCGGTGAAGTAGAGACCTCCAGACTTATTCGCGATGGGAAGTCATGCAGTACTTGCAGTACACAAAGGATGGTTAGCCACGATTAATTTGCCAATATATGGACATGCTACACCTCAGACGTCCAGAGAGTCATTTTCAAAATGTCCCAAGGTCATTTTGCACAATGCTCCATCTACAAAGGATTTCCTAACCAGATAAGACATTGTGAAAATAAGACACGGTAGAAAAGACTTTTTTGTTACGATGTGCCACAATGTAGTTTTCGAAGAAAATGTTAACAAACATACAGTAATTCAGCTATGTCGTCCTAAATAATGATATCGCACTATTTTGCTCATGCACCTATCTCACAGCTCCCTAAACAGTTGCATTTTTCTGATTTCTGTTGGGCTGCTCTTTTTGTATACGTATTGTGCAGTGGTATGACAGATTTTTGAGGGCGTAGAGAACGCGAGAGAATAAGAATAATAGAGAAAGGGCCTAGGCTTTCCGCCGGAAAGTGCGGATGTAGGATTCTCTCCCGAATGGTCCCGCACACTGCCGCGCTGCCTCCACCGCCGCTGCTGGCCTCGTCCGCCCCTCAAAGCCCCCCCC